TGGGACATGCATGACTCATAGAATTTTGAGGATTAAATGACTAAGACATTCAATAAATCTTTGCTATTTTTGTTATTTTTCACCTGCATTCTGAAAAAAATATTATAGAAAGTACACATTACCCTCTTAAAACACAGTGAATAGTTGATGAAGATAAAATATACCAGAATAGGTTTCAATTTAGGGGAACAAAGAAAAAATCTGTCTTGAAAACACATATCCTTAGTAAGATTGCAACTTTGACGGTGAGGTTTATTGCATTTAATTAAAAATGTAGACATGTGTGGGAGTAAGAACATTTAAATTCATAGGCTTTCATTCTTAGATGTCTCTCAATCTCTCTCTCAGACTCTTGTCTAAACCTGTCTTTAGCAGCAGTTACCCTCATGTTTATTTTGCTTTGCATTCAACATGATTTTTTTTCTCCAGACCACAGGCTGACGCTCTAACCGCTGAGCCAAACTGGCCAGGGCAGTGATTTTTTTTCTTATAATCTCAGTACATCAGGTCAGAGGGAAAACTCAGTGTATTAGCTGACTACCAGTACTTAGCATCTTCTTTGAGAATATTTATCATAGCCTCCTAAATAGCATCACTAAACTTCTCTTTCAAAACAGGTATCCACGCACCCGAGTCATCACTGTATTGATTTCTGAGTGTTATACTGGATATGTTCCAAGACTAAACAAAGCCAGGATTGTTGACCACTGAGGAACTGTGTTCTAACAAGAGACCTGTGGTCCCTTACAGGTGTACATTCTCTTTGCTGAGATGGCCTCTTTTTATAAGGGGTGGTTCGAGTCATAGAAAATGTGATTTCACATTCCTCCTTGATAGTTTGCCAGCTTGATTTCCTGCCAACCGGATAACTGCTTGTAGTGACACTCATTCCTCTAGGACTTCCCATCCTCTGCCAGCCCTCAAAGGGCAGTCCCACCAAGCCTGCACACACCGTCCCGACCCCAGGGCATGCCGTCCTGAATGCCCCAATGTATGGATAAAAATCCAGTATACCAACCAACTCAAGGGATGCACAGCTAAAGTTCCAATAAAACTCTGAGTGTAAAGAATATGTTATTTTTACTATTTAAGTTTTGTTTTACTATTTTAAACAGAAAACAGGAAGGCGAGTGTATAGTTCTGTTATTCTGCCTTCCTCGGTGTTTGCCCATAAGGTGCTAAGCCCAGCCTTAGGAATGAAAGCGTGCACAGGCAATGACCCTATTCTAGTGTGGCCAATGCTACTTTGATCCTTTCTAAAGGCAAGACATATTTCATTGTCTCCAGCCCCGACCTCCTGAACTTCACCTGCCTGATCATTATTTATTTGGATTATATAGCTTCCTCAAATAGATCATGGCAAGAATGTATCTTGTCATTTCAGATTCCTTTCTAGAATTACCTGTTTCTCTAATTAGTACTGTCACTCTTTCAAGCAACCAAACTCAAAGCTTTATTCCTATAGTGAGTCTTTTTTGTTTCTTTCTACATCTAGAATGTTACCAAAATCCACTTACTGCTCAATCAGTAATAGTTTCCTGTTTAATCATTTTTTTTCCCCCACTTCCTCTGGAACCCTTTTGTTCTCTTGCCATTTTGCATCTGAACTGCTGCAAGAAGCCGGAATCATGCTTGTCATAAGTTATTACACTTTGATTTTCTGCGACTCTACTCCCACTAGGATGGCTGTAATAAAAAAGACAGACAATAACAAGTGTTGGTGAGAACGTGGAAACACTGGAGCGCTCTTCTCTTGCTGATGGAAATGTAAAAGAATTCAGCCTCTTTGACAGCTCCTCCAGAGGGTAAACAGAATTACTATATGACCCAGCAATTCTACTCTTAGAAATCCCACTCCCGAGAGAATTTAAAACATATGTACACACAAAAACTTATAAATAATGAACATTCATGTTCATAGCAGCATTATTCACGCTAACCTAAAGGTGGATGTAACCCGTGTCCATCGACGAATGGATAAACATATCATATATGTATATGTGATATATACATGTAATGGAATCCAATTCAGCCTTTGAAAGGGAAGGAGCTCTTCCCATAAGTGGCCAGAGGGGACCTCCCAAAATGGATTGCTATTTACTGGACCCAGAAAATTCCCCAGAGTCATGCAAATCAAGAGGTTCAAATCTTCGTGTTCACTTTAAGAACACGTGTGAAACTGCCCAGGCTACCAAGGGTGGGCATGTTCAGAAGCCACCAGGTATCTGAAGATGTCATTTTACAGAAGCAGGGTGTGCCATTCTCTTGTTACAATGGTGGTGTTGTAGGTGTATCCAGGCCAAACAGAGGGATGGACATGCGGTTGGTGGCCCAAAAAGAGTGCTGAATTTTTGCTGCCCATGCTTACAGATGCAGAGAGTAACCCTGATTTTCAGGGTTTACATGTAGACTCTCTGGTCATTGAGCACATCCAGGCAAACAGAGCTCCTGAGATGCGGTACAGAATTTACGGAGCACAGGGACAGAGTAACCCATACACAAGCTCCCCGTGACACATGGAGAGGATCCTTCCTAAAAAAAAAGCAGGTTGTCCCAGCCGCTGTGGCTCAGTTGTTGAGCATCGACCCGTGCACCAAGAGGTCGCAGGTTTGATTCCTGGTCAGGGCACATGCCCAGGTTGTGGGCCTGATTTCCGGGGGGGGGGGGGTATGCAGGAGGCAGCCAATTGATGTTCTCTCTCATCAATGTTTCTACCTCTTTCTCCCTCTCTCTCTCTAATGTCAATAAAGAAAAAAAAAAAAAAAAATAGAGCAGGTTGTTCCTAAACAAGAAGAGGAGATTGCTCAGGAGAAAAACATTCCCAGAAGAAAGTGGAGAAACAAAAACTTGTGGCCCAGGAGTAAATTCAGCATAAAATAAATGCTAATAAAAGTAAAAATAAAAAGGAAGGACATTATAATACCTACTACCACATTAATACTGAAGACATTATGCTGAATAAAATAACCAGTCACAAAAGGACAAATATTATATGATTCTGCTTATATGGTGTACATAGACTAGTCAGATCCATAGAGACAAAAAGTAAAATTGTGTTTACCAGGGGCTTGGGGGAGGGAAAATGAAAAGTGTTTAATGGGTACAGAATTTCAATTTGAAATGATGAAAACATTCTAGAGATGGATGGTGAATATACTTAAATGCTATATAACTGTACACTCAAAATATGATTAAGATGGTTTTATATTACATATATTTTATCACAATAAAAGATACTTGTCAATAAATGTTCATAGTAGCATTATTTATAATAGCCAAAAAAGTAGAAATAACTCAAATATCCATCACGAATAAATTGTGATACATCTATGCAGTAAAATGTTACTCACTCATAAAAAGAAATGAAGTAGTAATACACACTAACACGTAGGTGAACCTTGAAAACATCACGCTAAGTAAAAGAAACCAGACACAAAGAGCCAGACTTTGCTCGATCGTATTTATTTGTAATATCCAAAATAGGCAAATCCACAGAGACAGAAATTCAGTCAGCTAGAGGAGGGATGAATGAGAGACCCCTAATGGGTCCTGGGTTTATTTGGGGAGTGATGAGATTGTTCTGGAATTAGAGGCAGTAATGGCACAACTATTCAAATATACTAAAAATGCTGAATTGGATGTTTTAAAGGGATGCATTTTATGGTATGTGAATTATATCTCAGTTTTTAAAAACCTACATGATGCCATGTTTCTCAAGATCAGCATGCCCCAGTCTCGGCTGACTATTTCTAACTATGTAACTGAGAAAAGTAACTGACCTTTCTTCTTACTCTGTACAATAGAGATAATAATAACTACCTCACCAGCTGTTTGTGTTAAATGAGGTAACATATGTAATGCATCCAGCACTGTGTCTGGTAGTTACTAAGAACCCAGTAAATTGACTATGACCCCTTGGGACACCAGCCTTCAACAACATCCAATACTATTCCAGATACTATTTTCAGATTGTTGGGAAAATGGCCCAACTCCCTTAGCCATTTTACCAATACACTTTACGTTCTGGCTCAAATCTGCCTCTCCTCATTCTTATAATGTTTCTTTATAGAAACCCTTTCTTCAGAATGGGCTTTTTTTCCCTTTTGCTGTGCATATTCTCACAGCTCTGCTTGAAAATAGTGTTCTCTTCCTGTTTCTCTTTGTCTTTCTCTGAATTTCACCCTTACAACTCAGAAGACCATGTATTGAACTTTCTCCTTGATTTCATGGATGGTAATCTCGACTTTTTGTAGCATCCAAGATTTTCACTCCATCTTTGACCAGTGCACTTTGGTTATATTTTGAAAGTATGCATTTTATGAGGTTATATTTTTAAAGTATGTATCCAATCTCTCCAGCTAACTTAAAGCCCTATGAATTTAGGGGCCACATTCTTTTGCATTCCCTTCTTCTTAGCACTTAGCACATTCATTGCCTTGACATGGTATTCTGAATAAACTTTTGCTGTTTTGGGGTTAACTTGGTGTTACATCTGAAGAAGTACAAGGGCTTAAAGTAATGATTCTCAATCCTGGCTGGACCTTAGAATACCCTGGGGAGTAAGGCTTCATTATTTTTAACCCAGCACATCAGAATCTCTGAGCAGGGGCCTCAGCTTTACACACAGGTAATACTACGATAACCAAGGCTGAGAGCCATTGGGTTAAACTGATGAAGGACTAGAAGCCAGTAGGTTCCAAGCCTAACTGATTATCACAATCAGGATGTGAGGAGCACTGATGGAGGAAGAGATGCTTTGGGCATTGCAAAGTGCTCTCCAAATGTTAGACAATGTTATTATGGTGCATTTGGGAGTTTCACTGCTTTGAGAAAGATTCTCCAACCCTAATTTTTTTTTTTTCTAACAGCCAACGGTGTAGTGGAAATATCCAATTATGGGCATCTTAAACCTTTAAACTCTACGTAATAGCTTTCATACCAGATGTGCATGCCTTGTTCCTTTTTGCTAACTTAAAATATTCACTCTGTGTCTTTCCCAGGCTGGCCAACATTCAGCAGCAGACCCTCTCAAGATTGTTTACTTGCCCTTGTTCCTGTTGAGTTGCCACGCTTGGAAGCAGGAGATGGGCTTTGCGACAGCCAACAGGCCATGATCCAGGAGGAGCAGTGAGGGATAGAGCTGCTGGTAAGACAATGGGACAGTTGGTGCTTGGTTTGGGAAAAGTTTATTCCCAATTTAATGGTCAATGTCTCTTCCTACGTCAACTCTAAGTTACTCTCTATTCTCCCAACTACCTTTATTATCTATGCTTTGGACACAGGGCTTCGATTTTAAGATCTCTGGATTCCCTAAAGTTATGTGCTGACTTTGGTGTGTATACATTTTTTTGTTTCTAGAGAAAATATTTTCATCAGATTATCCATGTCTGTGAATTTAAAAAAGAAAGATAAGAACCATTCAAATATCACTATAAACATGGAGAAATGTGATCCCTATAACTACTGTCACAGTGTTTGTCCTGTCCACATTTACCTCACTGTGGCCCCTTTGTCTCAGTCTTGTGAGGACCAAAAAAGTGATATTGATGGTTATTTGCTGGACTGAAAAGTGAGCACATACTGAGCTTAGGCAACTGGGATTCATGACAACTTGGCCCCACAGAACTAGTGAAGAACTCAAATATAGAATGACAGAACTCAGGAACACCCATGTGATATTTCACATGATTTTTTTTTTTTCCACACAATTTTTGAAAAATACAAATAAAGGTACCGACAGAGAGGGAGACACCAAATACTTTTTACATCATGTTCTTATAATTGATCTTAATAAAGATCAATTTGTTCTGAATGCCACTGACCTGCTAGTGAATGTCCCAACCTAAGGGTTATTGATCAGATTATTCTCACTTATGTGGATGAACAGAAGTAAGGAACTGCTGTATTTATTTTTCCAAAATATTTAAAATGAAGACGAGAGTGAATTCAACCACATATAGCTTTGTCTTTACTGTAAGTCAGTTAAAATGATGGGAGCCTTGTAGGAAAGGAAATGGAAGTTAGAGAAAAGAAAGAATGAGCCCCCCACACACACACACACACACACACACACACTTTCTATACCTCCTTTAGCAGGTAATTTAGCTTTGGTTTTCCTGAATTTTGTTGATTCATTCAGTATAACAAATCTTCTAAATAGCCTGTGTGGCTTTAATCTCTGCCCTCACTCCAGACTCTGCCACTTGATACTTCTTAGAGACTGACCTGGTGCTGAGAAGTCCTTTCCAGCGTGTCCTCAGTTAAACTCCCATGATTCCTGGATGTTGCCATTTTCGAGACATGGGGCACGTGCCTCTGCCTGGTTACCTCTCTGCCCTGGGAATTTTTCAGTCCTCTGTAAAGGAAAGAGAACGCAGCACTGTAGTAACTCTCAGAATGAAAATTTTCCCCTTGCATGTTAATGTTTTCAGAGTAATCATTGTCACTGAAAATAGACTTCCTCTTTCCCCTCTCATGCTGGAAAATCTTAGGTAATTATGAATAAAGCATTCTTAGCTTTTCCCCTCCTCCCTTGGTAGATGCTTTGCCTCTCTCACTGTGAGGGCTAGGACTGTTCACTCTGTACTTGACCTTAACATGAGAACTGAAAGAAAAATTTTAAATGGAATTTTTATCTCTTTTGTGGTATCATAAGATTTTCTCCTTTTGGAGGTGAAGGGTGGATAAGTAAGAACATGCAGAAGTTTAGGGAAAAGTGTAAGATGAATTACAAGAAATAAGGTCAGGAAATGCAAGTATTAGATGTATGTAAAAAATAAAAAGAAAAGATTCTTACAAGTAAACACCCAGAGGAGTTCTTCCTTCATGTCCCCAAAATATATTATTTTGCATTTACTTTCTTATAGTTGGACAAGCTCAGTCTGGGACTTATTTTCAGTAGCAAATAAGCCTAGGGCTTATATTTTAGTAACATTTATTATCTGTATGCTCTTTGGAAAATTATTTAACCTCTTTAAACCTTGTTTTACTTGACAAAGGTGTCATAGTTAATACTAATGAGATCGTATACTATTGTATGGATAATATATGCAGGGCCTGGCATAAGTTCTCAATTTATAGTTTATGTTATTAATTACTATTAATGTCACTTTCAGTTTTTTAATAGTGAATTTAGTTAAAAATCATTTATTGAGTATCTTTCAAATACCAGGCACTGTTTAAGAACTAGAATGCATTAATAAGCTAAACAAATAAAATTTTTCTCCTTGTTTACCTTAGACTCTAGAATTGGAGACAGGCATAAACAAGGTAAATAAATAAAAATGCATAGTGTGTTAAACTTCAAGGAGTGTGAAGCATAAAAATTTTAAGTAGAAAAGGAAATTGGGGGCATGTTGAGGTAGTAACTGAAGATGGAGTAGTCAAGCATGACCTCATGAGAAGGTTACGTTTTGAGTAAAAACGTGGAAAAGGAATACAAACATAACCATAAAGTTCCAAGGGGAAAGAGAATTCCAGGTGGAGGAGAAAGGCCACCAAGCCCTAGAACAGGGAAAGGTTTTCCAGGGTGAGTCAGAGAATCAGAGCGTCTTGTGCGACTTAATTGTAATTGTATTCCACCAATGAACAGTCACCACATGCCCACGTGACACAGATAATAACTTTGGAAGTTCGAGGAATAGCACAGCTCGTCTAGACTAAAACAGAGGAGACTTCACACAAAAAAATGTGGGAGGCTGTGGCCTACTTCCCGAAGGACAGAAAGAACATGGATAATTGGGACAAGGGTAGAAACTTTCGACTATATAATGAATAAAGTCTGAGGATATAATTTATAACATGGTGACTGTAACAGCACTGTATTATAGAATTGAAATTTGCTAAGAGACTAGAACTTAAATGTTCTCACCAAAAAAAAAAAGAGAGAGAGAGAAAAAAAAAGTTTAAACATGTGAGGTGATAAATGTGTTTAATGTGTTTATTAACTTCCTAGGGGGAATTCTTTCACACTGTACATGCATATTGAATTATTATATTATACATTATGTATACTTATCTTACAGTTTTGTCACTTATACCTCAGTGATGCTGAAGAATAAATCTCCAAGGAGAGAGTTCTAATTACAGTTATTTTTATACATGTCACAGTCACATAGCCCTGTTACTCTCTGCTATAAAACAAACCACACACACACACACACACACACACACGCACGCACACAGTAGAGGGGAAACTGCTTGAGGTGAAGTGAAATGAGGATGTTGGCTTTGAGGGCAGAGTTGTTGGCTTTGAGGAGAGGGTCTACCAGGCATCGGGCAAGGGGAGGGGCCAAGGCAGGCACTCTTGTGTAGAATTGGCCAGTAGTGGGAGAGAGAATGGAAGAGCAGGTGAGGCCAAATTTTGTAAAACCCTAAGGCCAGGTTTAAGATTATTGTTCTATGCTATCCTGCAAATATTGAGGAACAATTGAAGCTAGTACGTAACAAGGTGATTTGGGTCTTTAACAATATTATTATTTTGACAACTTAGAAGAGTAGGGGGATGGAGGAAGTGGTTGGGAGGCTTGGGAGTGAGGCTGAGCACATGGATTCTGCTAATAGAAACAAGGCTGAAAATGGCAGCTAGACTTGATACCTTTTAAGGAAAAATCATGAGTATCTAATTGGTACTTACACAGAGGGATATAGGAGAAGAGGCCAAGTTTTTCTTCAAGTTTTAAAATGAACAATTAAGGGCTGGTGTTAAACCAAATGGGGAAGGTAGGGTACCCAGAGGTGAGACGTGACTTCTATGCCATGAGCTACTGGCCAAACCTGGGCTGGCCCCAGGGCTCTATATTGAGGGCTCCGCTCCCACCACTCTCCACTCTGGCTCTAAACACGGTAGTGGTTGGTTTGTATTTTGCCAGTTTGCTTATGGAGAACAGAGTTAGGAAGTTTGGATGTGCCCGTTAGTACTGTGTTTAGCTGTACTTCTAAAAATGCGGACATTTACCTCCTTTCACGAAGCAGCTGTCACTTGTTGAGAAAGGGTCACAGAACATGGGTGGGACTAGAAGAGGCTCATGGCCTGGATCTGCTTAGATTCGCCAACCTGGTCATTGTTAATGTCTCCTGATTTAAAATAAGGCATCTTTCAGTCTCTTCAGTAGTTTGAGATGGAATAGTATTTCTATCATTGGACTTCATTTCTGCTTATCTTTCAGAGAGAGATGGCTTCTGTTATTCCATATTTAAATCATTATCTAGACTTTAAAATTAAGATGTCAAATATTGCTTTCTTTTTTTAAAATTTATTGGGGTGATATTGGTTAATAAAAGTATATAGGTTTCAGGTGTACAGTTCTATAATATATCATCTGTAAATTGTATAGTGTGTTCACTACTCCAAGTCAAGTCTGTATCACCATTTATCCCTTTTATACCCTCCTCCACCTCCCCCATCTCCCTTCCCCTCTAGTGATCATCATGCTATTCTCTGTATTCATGAGTTGTTGTTTTTTTTTTGGCTTAATTCCTTAATCGTTTCACCCAGCCCCACAATCCATCTCTCCTCTGACAGCTGTCAGTCTGTTCTCTGTCTATGAGTCTGTTTCTATTTTGTTTATTAGTTTATTTTGTTCGTTAGATTTTACATATGAGTGAAGTCGTACAGTACTTGTCTTTCTCTGACTGGCTGATTTCACTTAGCATAATGCTCTCCAGGTCCAACCATGCTGTCACAAAGGGTAAGGTTTCCTTCTTTTTTTTACAGCTGAGTAGTATTCCATTGTGTAAATGTACCATAGTTCAATATTACTAATAATCAGAGAGATAAAAATTAAAGCCATATGAGATATCACCTTACACTTGTCAGACTGGCTATCATCAATCATTCAACAAACAACAACTGTTCACAAGGATGTGGAGAAAGGCACCCTTGTGCGCTGTTGGTAGGAATGCAGATTGGTGTGGCCACTATAGAAAGCAGTGTTGCGTTTCCTCAAAAAATTAAAAATGAAACTGCCTTTTGACCCAGAGATCCCACTTCTGGGAATATATCTGAAGAAACTCAAAACACTAATTTAAAAGAATATATGCATCCCTATGTTTATTGCAGTGTTATTTACAATAGCCAAGATTTGGAAGTATCTCAAGTGTCCATCAGTAGATGAGTGGACAAATGTTGCTTTCTTTTTTTTTTTT